TATCATCACACATTTAAGTTGATCTTATTGTAAATATATCATCACACACCTAAGTTAATCTTGTTGTAAATATATCATCACACATCTAAGTTAGTCTCATTGTAAATATATCATCACACATCTAAGTTAGTCTCATTGTAAATATATCATCACACATCTAAGTTAATCTTATTGTAAATATATCATCACACATCTAAGTTAGTCTCATTGTAAATATATCATCACACATCTAAGTTAGTCTCATTGTAAATATATCATCACACATTTAAGTTAATCTTATTGTAAATATATCATCACACACCTAAGTTAGTCTTGTTGTAAATATATCATCACCTACCTAAGTTAGTCTTATTGTAAATATTTAATCACACACTTAAGTTAGTCACCATCAAAGTGGTTACTTTAGAAGTAAGTATATATATGTAGTAGGGACGGCTGAAATGGGTATTAAAAACTTTTATTTAAAACACAAAACAAGTCACAACGTATCTACAGTTCACACAAGCTAAACTTGGACAACAGTAAACATTCAATGTTCAGGTTTAGTAGAGGTGTGGGATCATCTGAGGCCATCCCATAATTTCAAACAGCTCAGACGAAGTATACTGTCCATTAATGCTCCAACAGAAAACCTCAACATTCAAAGGGAGTAGGGAGGACCTATGGATGCTCAGGTTAGGGAGAGGAAACCCGCACTATTCATAATCCGCCCGCTAGACAAATGGACAAGGTGAGAAAAGTCCTTGACCAAATAGATCCAGTGCTAAAGCCACCTTGCTGTCCACTCTGCTGTGAAACAACCATTCATTTCTCTCGCTCAATAGACTGAGATTGAGTTGTGTGATGATATATTTACAACAAGACTAACTTAGGTGTGTGGTGATATATTTACAATAAGGATAACATGACCTCTTTGACTTTAAATATTGCTATAAAAATGGTATGCAGTAGGCATAGCAGACCTGACTTCAATGATGGCTAGTTTTGGATTAGTCAAGGTCCTATTCCAAAGGAACCTATTTATGTATCAGCAGAGAGACGTATTGTTTTTCTGTTGTTCATTCTTTCTTTTTCCTTCTTCCAAACATTTTTCAATCCACCGCCATTCCGTCATTTCTCGGCGGATTGACTTGAAACCTGGTAGGGTTATACCTTGGTTCAATACGACCAGACAACACGCTCTTCTTTTTTGTCTTTTGTTTTGGTTTAGTCATTTTTAAGGATTTTATGGGATGTAAGGTCAAACAACCCAAAAAATGTATATTTTGGGCTCATGTGTGGTCACATTTCCAGAATTCGAAATGAAAATTGGCACAATTATAAAAATCTTCTTACGCCCAACACATCGGCTTACAAAAAGTTGGATTTGCTTATTTAGGTAGGTGTGTGTGTGTGGTCAACTTACATAGGATTTGGTACAAAGGTACCTTCTTGCAGGTCCCAAACAACGATATATACAGTTTTAGATTTTTCTGATATCAAAATTGGCCATGTTGTGGTCGCGTGGCGGAGATTTGTTGTATTTCACCGCGAATGTTGACCTCTTTAATTAAAATCTGTGTTAAGTATCAAACATTCACAAAGTAGAAATAAATAAACAAAAGGATAAGATTCATAACTATGCCTATTAAAATATGATAAACATGACTATCATGTCTATCGGGTTTTTTGTCAAACTTTTTGGGTCGCGCCCAATTTCTTTCTTCTCCGTAATACACTTTGCCCATCCAAAAACGTTCAAATAATTTATATCATCACTCCTTCTCATTCACCTCCCTCCCCGCAAAAAAAAGTACAGTCACATTCCTCAGTTTGACTGCAATTTGTTACTTTAACTTGGATGCCCCCCAATACCTTGTTACGGCAGTTCAAAGCAGTGATTACAGTCACAGAAGTAATACAGGCACAATATTCGTTCTATTATGTCTGTAAAGTTCACTATGCTATAGCCATTGCCGACGAGGCTATTTGCTCAATACCAGGGTTCATCAGGCTGGTCGGAACGCTATTTATATCATCAATTGCTTAAATAACAACCGTTTCGGTGCGAACTAGATAAAGTTGGTGAACTGTAATTATTATTATTTTAATTTAAGTCATTACACGTTACATACAAGTTTAAGTTTTTTTTATTAACATACTGTTTTTTTTACTCAACTTTGTGCGATTTTATTTAGCTTTTTTTTTGTTGTTGTTTCTAATGGATCTGTTTGTTATCGTGTTGTTACGACAGCGGAAGTCACGTGACGCTAGTAACACGTCACGAGATTCTAGGAAGACCATGTCCGTTCGTGAATGAAGCCTCGAGTGTTCTCCAGACGCCCTCTATTTCGTATATATATAAGACCGGCGAGAAGTGACGGCATGGATATGAATAACTGCAGATTGAAGAGATAGAAACAGATAATCGAGTCAAGTCATAAGTAAAGTGCGTGAATCGTTCGTTGTGAATTATAGCGCGTGTTTAAGTTAAAGTGACTGTGAAAATTAAGTGTATTGCAAAGTTGAATTGAGAAAGAATAAACTAGTTTTATTTAAGAAAAGACTTGTATCGCTGAAGTTTCTCGGTAGGAATTTTTACGGGAAATTATCAAACGAACAGAGACGTAACAGTGTTTTGAATTACACCCATGGCCTCACTACACGTTAGAAAAATGGAATTATATATTTTGATTTTTTTCAAAACTACATTTTTTTTATGAATATGGGTAAGAAACTTGAAAAAATAGATATAGTTAGGGGCAAAGCTTTTAGCTAATCTGTACTCAACCGAAGGTTCTACTGTACTTCCAAGCTGAACCTTGCGATGTTTTTATCTACTGCTCAAACAAGTAACCTAGCAACCACACGTGCACTTGACGTCTGCCTACACATGTCGACAGGTGAGTGACGTATGAAGAAAAATACAAGACCGTGTTTGCGATAGCTTAAGACTAACGAAGATCGATTTCTGCGTGGGAGCACATGCGCATATCTACTGGAGGGGCAGTGACCTTCTAGAATAGTCGAGAAAAGAAAGGACAGTTGTAAAGATAAATAATAGTTGTTGAGAGCTCTACAACAAATCAAATAAGGTAGAAAGGCCAAAAGACGCGTTTGTTGATGTACTAGCCTTAAAATATTATTACCAATCAGCATAAACATACATCAGATACAGTGGGCGTGATCTTCCCATACGTTTAATAAACACCCTATACACTACTTGCTAGTAGTAGTGTGCCAATTAACTATTTTAAAGTCATGAACATGTTCATTAAAAAAACATTTGGTTCACTTTGCGTTGCAAAATTGAAATATTTCATTATTGTTATTGCGTTTTGAACAATTATAGGAACTCATAAAAAATGTTACATTAGCTACGAAAACAAAAAATGATGTTGTAGGTATGCTTATTCTTATTTCCAACAGCGTAAATAAGCATTTAACTTTTAAGACGTGCTTAAAATAACATCAGCATATTTTCCTAAAATTAAAACCTGCTAATAGTAATGACCAGCGACATCACGTGCATCTTTCCGGGTAAAAGCAGTATCAAATTAAAAACGACAACAACAATAAGATTTAAGTATAACAAAGAGGTTTTTTTCATTATTCATTTTGCTGAAGCGAATTCTTTTAACCATCAATCATTGTTATCAAAGCAACTACCACTCACCTCCCTACTGAGAGAGAAACGACCTTGACGCGACCAATATGGCGGCAGATTCACCAGCTAGTGGGCACAGATGCCTCGTGGCTGGCAGCAATCCATGTCACTGTATCTGGCCTTCTTCCACACTCACACACGTAAACACTGATGCCACATTATTGCACGATAACCTATTTTTTTCATTCACTGCACCATCCGCTCTTCTTGTCTGTAACAGGCTACAGAATAGCATTCCGAGTGAAAGATAGATCCACTCTCATCCCCCACCCCCTCCCCTATCACTCACTAACATATAATTGGCATGTAGGCAGATTTCCCCGTCACCCAACCGTACAACAAACTGCCTAAACAGCAGATTATCTCTTGCGCTTGCGCGTATCACATGTATTGCTACTCTGCATAATGACCTCGTGCTGTCACCCTTGTAACTGCAGGCGACTATAAGCGCAACACGGATTGGCTGAAGAATCAAGAGGGCGGGACTATAACCAGAAATTTTGTTTTCAACTCCAGTCCCTAAAGACAGGGTGGTATTCAGGCTGCGTAGGGCTGAGAAAGCTTTGTGGTAGATATTTTCACAATTAGGAACCAACTATTTAAAAAAACATCTATATTAATTGAAATCTGGGTCTTTTACGAGAAAATTGTTTATCTCTTTCCTCTAGTGTTGAAAGCTTTTTGTTTCCTTCCTTGTATTATGTACACAAGCTGAAATAAAATTCCTTTCTGTATATTACTGTGAAGTATTTTTCCCTTCCAATCATCCCTGGTTATTGAACCTGTAGCTAATCAAAATAATATTGTGACGTGTCAGTAATTGTGTCATCGTTTTTATATCTCAGCTGCTGAAGTCGGTAAATAAAAGAAGTCGTACTATCCTTCCATATTTGAATTTCTATTGGTTTGCATTATTTACAGTAACTGAAACTCGACACATAAGCCTAATGCAGTTAGGCCTATTCTGTAGCTGTACGAAAGCAACATTTTGCTTATTTTTTGCCCATAAACGTTGCTTTTCTTTTTTTGGTATTTCATTCACAAACCAGCGATAAAAACAATTTTGTAAATGGAAACTCTGAATGATAATTAGTACAACAATTCTGATCCTATTTATATAAGTAGCTGTAATTTACAATTCTTAAAACAGCCATTGTTCTTATTAACATCTTAGCATGCACGAAGGCCACATTCACAGTTACAGGGGCGTCATTTGGGGGGGGGGCAACAGGAGCAACACACTCCACCCTCCTCAAGCTCGGAAAGGGGCCCCAAATGGCAGTTCCTGTAAGAGATTTCTAGTAAGGCCGGGTTAATCATATACGTGAATTAAGCTATAGCCTTAGGGTCTCCAGCTGAATTGGGGAATTCACATGAGGTCAGCTTTTTGTTTTGTTTTGTTTGTTTCTTTTACCCCACAAGCCTTTTGTGAAATAATGTTCCTGCATAGGTAAGTTACTGCATAAACCAGTGTTGAATAATTTTACTATAAAACAAAAGAAAATGTAAATATAGACATTACATTGAAGGATCCGTAGAACCCTAGACTATCACTGACAAATACCCGCTGTATATAACGAACAGAGAGGCTGTCTAAGCGTACTTTGCTCTGTGTATATATAACATTTGAGATTGTATTTACAGGATAATACAAAAGTGACTTATCACCATTATTTTCCCAAGTCCTGCCCTTACAGCTGTTCGAACCGCGTAGCTCTATTTACCTTATATCAGTGATTCTGAACGTGGGGCGCATGCCCCACAGGGGGGCAATTTGAAAATGCTATAATAAGAAAATTTTTTCATTTGGGTGTGAAGAGCGAAAAACGTTCCGTGACTCAAAAGTAAATTTCTAAATTTTACATTTTATTATTATACCTTTTCAACG